AAAAAAAAAAAAAAAAAAAAAAGTTCTGATACATTTTTAAGGCTTATATTTGTCAGTCATTCTAGTTCTTTAAACTTTGATGCTTCGCTAAGTTCATGAGTACAAAATGTGATAATTTTAAGTAATTCGCACCAAAAAATATTTGAACGACTTCTGTACCTACGACGTTTTTCGGGAGCTTTGAAATAAATTGTACATCAAGATTAACCCGGTTACATTTGACTCCGGTGTATTTTTCCATTGATAGATAGCTTTTTAACGCAAGGGCCATTCTAGATTTGGTTTTCCTTCCAAAATGAGAGCATATTCCACCGTTTTTTTCCAACTACTGTGACTAGGTACTTTTTCATTTTTTTCTTCATTAGGTAACCTATGGCTCAACCTGTTACGGTTTAAAACTCGTTTGGCTCTGAATTTTAATTGACTAACGTCACGTAACTAGATCTATTCCTCGAATAATACATGTTTCAAGCCACCGCTCCAAAGGGAAGTAAACAAGCGAGCGGGACATAAAACTAGAGCGGGGTGAAAGACCGATTATTTTTCGTGAGCATAAAAAAATGTTATGCCTTCCGCTAGCCGAAGCGAGTTATCCAACCAACCAGCCAGCCATCGACAGAGGGAAACTGCAGAGCGGCCGCTGCGCTGTGAAGAACGACCACAGCGGACGAAGTGAAGCTTGAAGAGCATCTTACCTGGAGTATTTCCTTCGTGTTGGCGCCGTAACGCTTGCCAAAGCGAAACTTGAGGGTGGGGCAGTGACCAGTGTACCTGAACAGAAAAGGAAACACCCCAAATTAATTCATTAAACTGCAGATTCGAAACGGATAAAAATCAACGCGACATTATTACCTTCACGAGAGATAGAGTCGATTATCTTCAGGAGAGCCCTTACTGTCGCCTCTTGGTCCCTTGCCGCGATGCGACTAAAGGGCGTAACGCTATTTTCACGAGGCCCGGGAGAGCTTGGATTCGTATGAACGAAAAGGCTTGGCTCTGAGTGGAGTTACGCCCTTATGTCAACAGACTAACGGATTGTTTTGTCCTGTTGCACCGAGAGGACGCAGGTAATTACGACACCTACGATTGCTGTTTGACGAAAGCTTGCTGAGATGACAGAGGAAGTAGGGGATGGATGGAGAAAGGGAAGGTAAACAAATTGCGGGCCGACTACTAAGTCAGAGTTTATGGGTTCGAGTCCCGCTCAACATGGAAAAAAAATGTTAAGGTGATTCGACGGTTGCCATTTTTTGTGTCAGTGTGACTTGCGATACATCGCATCGAATCGTCCCATAAATTCAGCTACTTGTCATTTTTTTCGAATTTTGAGATCGCACTCCTGTTGTCATGAGACTGCAGAATTCATGTACCAAAGACAAAGAAATTCAACGTGATAAAGCCGTGGTATTGTCAGAGGAAATTAAAATATCGCATTCGATTGCAGTTCCGATACCAGTATCGAATGCTATATTTTTCCTCTGAAAAAACCCTGCCTTTATTACGTTGAATTTCTTTGTCAAATTTGGTACTTGTCTTCTTTAGTCTCATGACAACAGAAGTGCGATCTCAAAATTCGAAAAAAATGACAAGTAGCTGAAATTATGGAACGAATCGATGCTATTTATCGCACGTCGCTCTGACACAAAAAATGGCAACCGTCAAATCACCTTAAATAACTATTACTGTACAGAGGACTTTCATTAGTCTACCTCAAAAATTGAAGGCAAAATAGAAATTTGCCGAACATACACACTCTCGTTGTGTCAATTTGAGCGAGAGTATGGAAGCTAAAGCGCATGTCCGTTTCTCCTTCAATTTTTAAAGTAGCTCAAAAAGCATCCTCCGTGCAGCAATAGTTTTTTAATCGAAGTTTTGTATCGTGTGTTGTTTACGAACTTTGCCTTACAGTATTTTACGGCTGACTCTGACCTGACATTTCTGAGGCAAGTTATCTTTCAAACCGAGGATTGGCACTTTCTGTGACTGCGCGGTGTTGAGATTTTCGTAGGTACTCATCGCTGTTGGGCATACCAAAAATTTTTTTTTCGGGTAAGCGGCTCAAACGAACGGAACTATATCCTACTTAAAATTATGAAAGAACTCAGGACCGGATTTAGGGGGTGGCCACATGGGCCGCGGCCCATGGCGGCAAATTTTGCAATTTTTTTTCAATATAGCTAGAAAGAAAAATCGGAATCAGAAAAAAAATTACAAACGAAAAAAGGTGACAAAATCGCTCATTTCCTGAGAGTATATTTTTAATTTTGTCGCTTTTCTGTGATACAATAGACAGCACCTTTAATTAGTCGAGGTAATACTAATTAAAGGAACACGGAATTAGGTCTGGAACGGCGCGGCGCAGAGAGCAATGACGACGAAATCTTGAGATGAAAAGGAGAAACCCCGCGGCGCGCGGCGGTCGGCATGTATTAGCGCCTACAAGACTGCATGAATACTTCGCGCATTGCGTCATAGACAGTGCGGTCGCTGCGGTCAGCAGCGCAGCGGTCGGCATGAAACGCATAGCGCCTACAAGACTCTAGGAATACTTCACGCATTGCGTCAAACGCACAGTGCGATCAGCGTGGCGCGGCGGCGGAAGTTAAAATTATTAAACCACATTTACGTTTGTTCTTATATAATTTTCTCGTTCAACACTTATAAATGGAGGGCCTTGTCCACACAGAGATAGGTTTACAGAACTTAACTTTCACGCAAAGTTCCGTGAACTTTTGTTAGTAGTGTTGACAGGGCTCTCGCAAAAAATGTGTCCAACACGAGTAAACGCGTCTCATGAACCCCTCCCCCTCCGGCACGTTCACTTGATGGTTTTTATTGATGTTTCAAAACGAATGAGAAGGGGGCGGCAAGTAAGTAAATCCGGTCCTGAAAGACAAAGAACTTACAAAAAATTACTCAAATCCGCCACGTTACCAGTATCACAGAGAGCGGCGCGCTTAAATTTGGTAATCAGGTCAAACGATCGTCTCTTGCGCTGAAATAATTTGAAATTCGCAGTGAGAAGGGAATACTCATTGGACGGACATAGATTTAAGGCCCTTCTTGGATTCTTGCAAAATTTGGTTCCTCGGTGATATCCCTATTGATTGAAGCCATTCAGCCTCTTTCCTTTCCTATTTTATTCAGGGTTGATCACCAGAAGAAAACTTTCGTGAGTTAGATGGTGAATTTTAGACACGAAAAAAAAATCCCTCGACTTCAAGAGCCGAATATTGATGTTCGTGACACTCCAAAACAGACAGCATCCTCCTGTTTGAAACCCAATAAGCGTTTTGTTTCTCGTCCGATGAATAGTTTAGAACGTGGGATGAAGTTCCTCACGATGTTCTAAAATACCTTTCAATGGAGATGTTGCATGTGTGAGGGATTTGCGATTTGACTGTGGATTCTTAAGTAAAAGTTCGTGAGAAACACGATGGCGCCACTGGTTTTCTCTGAAATCAACTCCCAAGCTCAAAAAAAGCTCTCAAAGTGAGGCCAAAATGGAGGGGATATCCCACCCTACCCTGAGAGTCCATCTCTACATCAAGACAAACTCTCTATGCAAAGATTGGGAGCAAATACATTCGCAGGGTTGCCGTGTTTTCAGTTTTGGAGTCCCCAAATAAAGTGGCAGCCCTGTCAATGTATTTGCTCCCTATCTTTCATTGGAGAGTTTGTCTTGATGTAGAGGTGGACTCTCAGGGTAGGGTGCGGGATATCCCCTCCATTTTGGCCTCACTTTGAGAGCTTTTTTTGAGCTTGGGAGTTGATTTCAGAGAAAACCAGTGGCGCCATCGTGTTTCTCACGAACTTTTACTTAAGAATCCACAGTCAAATCGCAAATCCCTCACACATGCAACATCTCCGTTTAGGAACCAAGAGTTTCGGTACAGCTGTCAGGAAAAAAATGATGAGAAAATCAAAATACCAGAGGACGAGGAAATTCGCTCTGGGCGGATACCAAAAAGTATCTGCAGGCGACCTTGGCCTTCATTCGGGCATCGTTTCCGAGTCACCTGTATTTTGAATTTGCATGCGATCCGGGATGGGTGGAAGCCGAAAAGAATCCGTCGATGATAAGAGACAGCTGTCAGATTTTGGATAATTGCGCTCGCTTCCGGCGGTGCCGCCAAGACGAAAGTGATACGGTTCTTGGTTTCGTGTCGATGTTTGCGCGGACCGGATCATAATTGACGGAAAAGCTGTGGGAAGCGTCCTATTGCACATCGATTACGAGCACCGAGCACCTGCATTTTATGCCATTGCAAATTTCGTAATCGCCGAAAATAGATCCGGACTATCATCTGGAAGTAAGTAGAAATCGACGAGACAGAATAATTAAATATTTGCACGAAATAACTTGGTATTTGCGCGGAACTGATAGAGTTTTTGACTGAGTGATGAAGTGTATCATTGATGTGACTTTGAAGCACTGGGAACACAAAAAAGTGCACTGGAAAAAAAACACATTGGATCTAGAGTCCAGACTCTTGAAAACATTGACAAGAAAAAATACTCTTGATTCAATCGGATTTTTGCTTGAATCAAAACGAAATCCGCTTAAATTAAGAGGCTTGGTTCTTGATTTAGGCTAGATTCTGATTGAATCAAGAGTACCTTTTTTTCCCAGTGTGTAGCTCTCATCCCAGGTTTTGTTTCAGTATACAGGCATTTACACTGAGGTTAAGATCCCGCTATGATGAATTACCTAATGAGATATTTTCATGAGTAAAGATCAAAATAGGTAACATATTTATAAAAAATACATATGAGCGAGTCGATATGTTAATGCACGAGGAGAAAAGGATTCGGTCAGAGATACTGAATTTCGGTTTGTATGGGATCTCAAACTGATTTGGTTCAAGTGACCGAAATATCCGAACATGGGAATCGAATTTCGGTTAGCTGTACCCAAATTTGTTTTCTGAGGGCGAAAACTTCCGTAAACTAAATCGAAATATATCGGTGTTCAATAAGAACCGAATTTGCCCTGCGCACGCAATAAGTTTGCGTATTGATGAAGTCTCCCTCAGCCAGGGTTGATTGCAATTATTTTTCATGAAAAACAACATTTTGAAATTCCATGTGAATTATTTTATAAAGTTCCAGGAAAATATCATTCGAAATTAAATGCAAAATTGATTGAAAGGCAAGTAGTGTTTGCTTTCAGGTGGTTTTTTAGTACGCGTTGCATACCCAGCCCCTGAGAATACGTTTCATATTTTTCACAGCTTTGTAGAATTTCATGAAATATTCCACGGGAATCCAATCTTTCGTATTTTTCATTTCACTTGTGCAACCCTACCCTTACCGAGCCTGCAAAGGAATTCAGGGAGCTAGGAAGTGCGTTTTTAAGAACCCCTGAGGAGAGACGGTAGTTAGAGCTGTGCCAGCTAGTGACAGGGACCGCGTATTACTTTCCGCGCGAGCAGTGATTCTCACGAGAAGTGCATTCGCTTCTCGATGGAGCGGCCTTTTTGCAGGGCTTTTATTGTTTTCACAGGGTTCCAACTATTCCCAACCCCGAGCCCGGAAGCACGCTTGCACTTTTTTAAAAGTTGTTTCGATTTTTCCACACCGGCCGTCCGACGCTCAACTTTTCTCTCTTCCGCATTCTCTTCACTACAGTACCTACGTACGGGAGAGAATTGCCAATGGAGATGTTGCATGTGTGAGGAATTTGCGATTTGACTGTTGATTCTTATCTAAAAGTTCGCGAGAAACACGATGGTGCCACTGGTTTTCTCTGAGATCATTTCCCGAGCTCA